CGGTGCTTGCTTTAGGCCATATAAACTTTTCGTAAGCTTATAGACGAGGTTTTCTTTTCCTGAAACCTCAAAACCTTCCGGCTGCTCCATATAGATTTCTTCATTTAGATCACCATGAAGAAATGTTGTCTTGACATCCATTTGTTCAAGCTCCAAATTCAAACTGGCTACCAATCCAAGGATGATGCGGATTGAAGTCAATTTTACAACTGGTGAAAATATTTCATCAAAGTCAATTCCCTTTTTCTGTAAGAATCCTTTGACTACTAACCGGGCTTTGTGCTTCACCACCTTTCCTCTGCTATCTTTCTTGGGCTTGAATACCCATTTACTCTTCAGTACCTTCTTTCCTTGTGGAAGTTTCACAATCTCATAAGTGTTGTTTTTCTGTAAAGAGTTCATCTTTTCGGTCATTGCTTGCAGCCATTTTTCTTTATCCGTATGAGATATAGCTTCATGGAAACTCTCTGGTTCTCCATCTTCAGAAAGTAGAATATACTCGGTTTCTGGGTATCGAGTTGATGGAATCTGACCTCGTTCAGATCGACGAGGTTGTTGATTATTAGCTTCAGGATGTGTACCATCATCGTTCCCCTGTGATGGTTCTGTAGTTTCCTGAGGGGTTTGTGCCTCCCCCTGCCAAACATCCTCCTGTTCTGCTTCTGGTACTGCTTCATGCTCCCTCATGCTATTTGTGTCAAACTGCAATGGTAGTGGATCTGGACCAACTTTTTTGGCACTGGAACCTCTTTCATAAGACATTGTGGGCTTTTCAATGTCTTCAATTGTCTAGTTTTANTCTCATCCCCGAGCGGCATGTCAACAGACGATAATTGATTTATCAAGCTCTGAAACTCACTGGTATGCTCGGTAATTGAAGTTCCGTGCTTTAACTTCAAATTTACCAAACGCCTCTTCAACAAGGCTTTGTTCCTAGCGGTCTTGGCTTGATACATCCCTTTNAGATACATGGTATAGTTCTACCATCAAGCTTCTTCCTGAGCTCCTTGGATACATGTGCATGTGCCAAAACAACTGAATACCCTTAAGTGAGAATATGAGGGATTCTTACCAGACCATATTTTCTCTGGAACCTCAAAATTCAACGGGGCTGATGGTGACCGGTTGATTAGGTAGCAGGCGGCGCGAACAGCTTCTCCCCAGAAAGGGTTAGGCAGCTTTGCCATATTGATCATACTTCTGACTCTTTTCATAATTGTCCGATTCATTCTCTCAGCTACTCCATTGTGTTGTGGGGTGTGTGGGACCGTCTTTTCATGTCGAATCCCTTGTTTCTTGCAATAGGAATCGAACTCCTTGGAAGTATACTCCNATTTGTGGCAGTAAGCTTTATCATAACTCCAGATGATGATGACTCTTCCATTATGTCTTTAAAATGGCTTGGTCAAAATTTTGGAGCAAAATCTCACCAAACGGAACTCACCAATGCATCCGGAATGGTGAAAAATGGTAGGATTGACTCTTCTTGGGTCAAAATAGGGCCTCTAGAAAATTTTCAAAATTTACACCAAACTTTTGGAATTAAATCGAAAATATACTGAACTTGTGGGGCAGATTTATAGTTTCAGTAACTTCAGGGGTTATTTCATAAATTTCTAAAAAATTTATGATGACTGGGCGCTGACTAGATGCTGACGTGGCGCTGACTAGATGTTGACGTGGCGCTGACTAGATGTTGACGTGGGGCTGACTATATGTTGACTGGATGCTGACGTGGCGCTGACTGGGCAGTTGCTATTCATCATCTTCTTCCTTGGGCAGAAGAAAAAAAATTGTCATAACTTCTTCGTTTTAGCTTTGTTTAGCCTACGGAAAATTGCGTTGAATTCGTATCGACGCAAGGAATCTAATGAAATGATCAAAACACACCGAAGATCACCTTTTCGAAAAACGTAAATCCGGGTTGAAATTTTCAGTGTTCCGATATTTCTCGATGAACACAAAATCGAGGGCTCTGATACCACTTGTTGTGATTCTCAGATCAATATGAAGATTATTTGGGAGGAAAAACAACTCTATTTCACAAGAATAGAATTACAGAGAATTTACACCAAGAATTTCTCTCTACAAAAAAATCTCACCAAACTCTCTTTTTGTTCTCACAATATCTTCCTGGATTGTATTTCATTCTCTCTGGATTGATATTTCTGTGTAAAACATAAGGCTCTATTTATAGCCTTAAAGAAGGTGGTTGGTGGTTGAATTCTTCATTCAACAATGGAGGCTTCAACAATGGTGACTTCTAGAATGGGTTGATGGCTTCAACAATGGTGGGCTTCTAGAATTGGTAGTTGGCAGCAGCTGAACTTATCAAGATCAACATCTTTATTATCTTAATATCCATACACATATATAAGTAGGTGTCATGGTAAAGGACAAATAAAAATTAGCAATGTATTTACCTCGCATTCCTTCTCTCCATCTACGCCTTGATCAGTATTGAAGTCAGGGTCCTATCAAACGTTAAAAAATAAATGAGTTTGAAAACAGAGTAAAAAATTGGCAGTTTAACAGAAATGCTAAACTTAAATATGTTATGAAGTTTGTGAGCGAAGATCACATACGGTGAAATTATCTGAAGGTGGAGCAGGACTATATTTCTGTATCAGGTGGTCATCATCGGTAAGCTTAACAACACTATAAGCTTCATCTTGCAAACGAAGGTTCGAGCTCTTGACAATAACCTTAAACATGAATTTTCTCTGAAGAATATTATTCAACTCCATTGGACAGGAAGGCTTATCAACACCGCCAGTATTCTAGAACCAAATTTTGCGTTACAATTTTTTTTAAGTAAAATATATGAATATAAGTAGTTGATATACCTCAAGTAATCCTTCCTTCAATTCATTTGCAAACTTGCCTATGAGAAATATGGCTTCGCGGTCCCAGAGCAATAGTGAAACAGATGCAGTAGTGTCCATGACCCTAACCCGAAGCCTGTACCTAAATACACATTTGATTTGAGATACAAATATATGTTTTGATGGATTAAGGAAATAGAGCTTTTGTGATTACCTATTCACAGCTGAGTAATCTTCATTTTTACATTTTGGGTTTGGGCAAGAATAAACGTCCTTCTTTTGACACTTTTTGCAGCTGATATACGACCACCCTCTTTAGAGTTCTAAATGTTCAATACTTGCAACAATCCAACAGGAACCTTCCTGTTTAATAAATTTATAAAACTTTATATAGCGAAGTTGTGAGATAGCGTATATGTGCGAATCGGGATTGATATAAATTAGGAATATTTTATATTAGAAATATTATGGTTTTCATCCATCAGCTGCTAAATGCCAACTGATAGTTGAAGATATAAAGCATGATTTGTGGTAAAACATATGTTACATACAACTTACTTTTACAAAGATTAAAGAACGTAGTTAAACTTAGTGAATGACCAACTACCAATACATATTCATAGACATATAGAGTGACCACATATAATAGGTTGGTCTTCGGTAATATTATGTGTTTCTCAGTATTTATCTTTGGCAGCATTAATGGACCAGGAGAAGTTTCTCTTAGCAGCCCGGAGGTACAGAAATGGTGCTCACATTGAACATATAGTATCTCTTGATGCAAATGGTTTGTCTCAGAGAAGCAAGGAGTATGTTGGGAAGTGAAGGTAAAATGATCTACTCATTTTAATGTGGGAAAGCATCATTTATAAGTACTTAAAAAAGGATGGTCAGAGTTATAAAAAGGTTTGGTTTAGCAATACAAAAGTTTACACAGTAAACAGTACCTATAAACTGGCAAAATTTTATAGCATAATTAATTTTTCTTATACAGCAATACAAACAATGAAAAAAGGTTTCAGGATTTTTAAATTTTCTCAAAATAGATAAAACATATTAGCAAAATAGTTATAATTATGCGCAAGATAGTTTACTTACTTCCATAGACTCCACTAATTCGCCAATTGTTTTAACTTGAACAACACCTTTTGCTAATTCATCCGAGACGGAGTAGCTTTGTTGAGAGATGGTTTGAGTCAACCTTTGAGAGTAATTATCTCAAACAGAAAGTAAATTGTATTAAAGAAAGAGTAAAACAATCAGATGTATAGTTCAAAAAATAAATTTAAGTATAATTGGTGGGGAAAATATGTATATTAAACCGTGTTTTAAACTCCTCTGATTGAGGAAAATTTGGATTAATCCACAGCTTCGATGTATTCCAAGTATTACGCACAGAATATGAATTTGTGAAACAACATATGTATTAGATGTAATGAATAACCTTTCACCAAATAAAGACATGTTAATACTATAATTTTACCTTGAAATTTATGTGCTTTGATAAGCTGCATAACAATAGGTTGATTGTTAGAACTTAGCAGGTGAGGTACAATTTCATCAATAAATTCGCCCCAGAATTTAGCGGACAACTTGTTCCTCCTAACAAATAAAAATAGATATATAAATTTTAGTTGATGGAATTGCCAAATCCATTAATAAGCAATAGATTGAGTGTTTATTCTTACTCGTCATCTTCTAGTTTGACATTCATAAACTTCCTAGAAACTCCAGCTTGTATGTGCATTTTTACCTCACTAAAATCGACGATTTCTCCCATCACATCTAAAGAATAAGAAGATATTAAAATAAGAGGCAAAAAAAGATCATTGGTAAAAGTTACTTTTACCGAATAATTCAGTAACGTCCACGTCAACCTTATTTATCAATTGATCATATGGCCGTAGATCAAAGATATTCATTGGGAAAAGTGGATCAGATGTTTCAGCCACTGTTGTCCGTTGAGTAAATGTGAGCCTTAAGTTATGTTTTGTGGTTTTGAACTTCTCTTTATTTTGACAAACGATAAAGTTCGCCATAACATATAATCCAAGCTCATTAAGTTGTGTTTTGAAAAGATGCAGCACTGACTTGCCAATAGAAGCTTGTATCTGATCGCCCTTCAAAGAAATCACATGAAATACATACATATAGTTGAACTTACAACGAACAACTCAAATATATTTTTCTAAAGATAAGTCAATGTGAAAATTCATCGAGCTAATAAGTTGGAAAGAATTGCATTCGGATGTTACGTTCTGGTAGTTGGCTATGTAACAGGTCCCTCTAGCGTTTACTGAATGCTTTAGTTTTGGCAAAGATTAAATTTTGAAACTGATGGTAAAAATTTTGAACTAAAAAGAAACTCTGTTTAAGCAGAAGTCAGGCAAATCTGCAAATAGTGACAATTCAATCAAGAAAGTAGCATTAATAAATGTATGAAGAATATAACAACAAATTCAGATTTTGCAACTTAAAAAATAGAGAAGCAAAACGAATTAGCATGTAAAAAAAAATTGATTTTTAATACCTTTTCATCTCGGAGAACGACAGTTTTGATATTTTTTCTCTTAAAAATCAAAGAACTTGGTATTTTCAATATTGTTTCGATAAAAACAGGTAGAGAGATTCAAAAGAAGGAAGAAATAAGCAAAATAGCAAAAAAGTTAAGAACATTCAGAGAGAGAACGGCTAAGTACAAAAACAGTGCAAGCAAAAAAGAAAACCAACATATATTTATATATACTGTTGCAATGAAAATATTGTAAGACAAAAAAAAGTGAATTGTTGTAGTATCTTCTAATCTTGAAGAACCAATCGAGAAAGTTGCTTTAAAAATGTGTGAAGAACATAACAACAATTCCAGATTTTGCAACTTAAAAATAGAGACGCAAAACAAATTAGTAATTAAAAAATTAATTTTTAATACCTTTTCATCTTGTAAAACCAATTTAATGGAGAAAGTAGTGTCTGAATTGTAACGATCCGGGACTTCCCACAGACGAACAACCCGAACTTTCAACTTCCATTGTATTTTCGAAATTGTTATATCCTTGATGAAATCAGTATGAGTAGCCATAATTTGCAGAATCCTTTTGTTTTGTTGAATTTCTGATAAACGCCTGCCTTTGGTTTATGTATAGAGTATCAATGGAAGATTCATAAGTTGGTATAGTCAGTTTTGAGCAGTTCAAGCTGGTTACTGATCGTACGTAGGTTTAGATAGCGTAGGTTTAGATAAAATCTAAAAAACGTGTGCATTCACGTTCACATGTAGATACGGTTACTTGTTTAAAAAAAAACCTAAAAGACTTAGTTGACAAAAGTAGAGTAGTGAATAATTTCGAAGATTTTTTCCCAAACAGAAGTCTAATAGATAGATTCGTCTTTTAGTTGAACTAGTATATTACCCGCGCGATGCGCGAAAAATATTAGATGAAAAATTATAATCTTATTTTTAGATAAATGTAAAATTTACGAATATAGTTAAATAGAGATAGTTGGCACAATGACAAACGTAAAGTTCTTACTTTTATATAGTACTCGCTTAATACGCAAATGTTGCAAAGTAAAGAAAACAAAAATTAAAATTTGAAACTATTTTATAGTATTATTTATGCGTTCATCACAGTAAAGCATAATTAGCTTAACATAAGTATGACCGAAGAACTTATCTAAAGCATAATAGTTGTAGCATGGATCCTTTATTTTGCTTGTTAATAATATCTAGCATCTGACACTTGTTATAGTTTTCGTCATGCGTAAAACATTATGTAGTATAGCAACTCCACTCATATAGGCCCTTGGTATCCTAATCAATTAGAAATAAACTAAAATTGCTTAGAAAATTTCCAAAAATAAAGCAATGAACAATTTGTTTTTTAGTTTTTCAACGTTTATACTTTTGATATTTCTATGTCTTCCCATCAACTTTCAGCCACATATGTCATGGCAAACTCGCGCGAGTTTTGATCATATATCTTTAGCATAGTCTTGCACCTCTTGATAAAGTTACAAACTGCTTAATAAACTTGATTAGACGCACACATAAAACACACACATAAATTTTGCCCATATGAATTTCTATTATCATAGAATGATTGTAAAGTTTGGAGCATCCGATTAATGGGTGAAAAGGTGAATCGTGGCAGGATGATAATGTGAATAGAGGGGACATAAACCTGCATCTTCTCGAGCGAATCATCTTGTTGCACTCTGTAATTGAACATTCGAACGTACACACATACATATACCAACAAAGTAGCGATACCGGAAGATATGGCTTCATACCTTTGTTCGTACCATCCATATCACATAATATATAGTCCCTCGGTTCCAAATTGTATAAGGGTTGACCTACTTGGGGAGTCAAACATCTTTATCTTTGATTCAATTTCAAGCATATATTATTCGAGTAATTTTTAATAGAATTTATATATTTAAAAATTATATAAAAAGTACTAAAGTCTACATAATTAATCATTCACAATGTATGAAAGAGTTGAAGAAAATCATAGTCAAAGAAAGAGTTGTTTGACTCTCCAAATAAGTCAACTCTCATATAAACTGGGACGGAAGGAGTAGCTAAACATTAATTTTGTCTATTAAATCAAAGACTCACTTTCTCTCATTGCGTGTTTTTAAAGTTGGGATTTAAGATTATTTTCCCAATAAATCAATCAGGAACATGAGCACACAATACTGAGTAACACATATATTGAAAAGAGTAATTTATCATAGGTGCATGGCCTTTCTTTATTTAGTCCTAAGCT